AAAATTATATTGCAAACTTTTAGTTACCTACCTTAGTAATACTTCATGTCGAGCCCTTTGTAAAATTAGAACACTTCGCCTGGACGCCATTGCACTAATAGCGGTATCCATATTTTTCAACACAAACTTCTTTAACGAACGGCCGAACCAAACTGACTTAAGTTCTACGCTTTCAGCTACCACCACCACCAGCTTGAACCAGTTTAACTGATAGTACGAGAGTAAATTTTGAAATTGCAAGTCCACTTGCTTGTTTGTTGTGTGGTAATTAAGTATACAAATATTTAGTTCATAGAATTACAAATATTTAGGTTTTGGGCATGTCGACTTACTTCGTTTTTGGATTGTAAAAGTAACATACTTGATTTTAACTTGGTAAATTTAACATATTATAATGTAAAGTAAAAAACACGCCGAAAAGTAAGTAGTTATACAATGTCGGGGTTTTAACGTATTACAATTTTAAAAGCACTGGTAGGTAGATCTTTTTGCGCTGAATCGAATGGTAATAATAGCTCAATTTTAAAGGATGTCGACTTACTTGGTTATTACTTTGTACGGGAGAACTGTATAAGCATTAAGGCTGATTCTCACTATACATAACGTTTCCATACCATATCCATTTCATAACCATTCCGTAAATTATTATAGGCTACGAAATTGACCTTTAAGTGATATGTGCGTAAGACATTCAGTCGCGCGCTAATACACATTCGCCTTTCCGTTCACATATGGAAGGCGAATGTGTATTAGCGCGCGACTGAATGTCTTACGCACATATCACTTAAAGGTCAATTTCGTAGCCTATAATAATTTACGGAATGGTTATGGAATGGATATGGTATGCAAACGTTAGGTATGTATAGTGAGAATCAGCCTTAATGCTTATACAGTTGACCATTCAAATTATAAACATCTATGCGGTTATAAACAATTCGCTCATTCATTGGGAGTCTAGAGGGTGGTTCCAACGGCCCGAATAATTACCAGTTTTATACCTATCTTTATTCAAAGCACAGCGACATTGAGATGAACAATAAACTTAGTGGGAGGTTACACTACTTTCACCCGATTCCTTTTTTTACGTGAGACGATCTATAGTTACGCTGATTAATACCACGAGCGCTTGCGCGAGTGGTATTAAATAGCATGAGTGGAGCAGCAGCTCAAAAATAATCTACAAATACTTCGACTACGAATGGTATTCGGAGGACTATTCAATGAATCAAAAGAAAAATTAAGCATAATACCCACGCGACGCGAATGTATTTCCATGACAACAATAAACGTCAAAATAAATTATGGAAGTTGCTTTTCATTTTGCTATTGATTCTATTCGAACTTTTGTGCTCCAAGCTAATTCGTTATGAGTGATTAAATTAAAAGATGTGGTGATAAGTCGGTTGTCGAAATTGATTAACAAACTAAGAAGAATGTTCCGGTTAATACGACAAAATTTCGCGTCATTTCACTGGTGGAAGTTTGACAAATGTCATTGAATAATCGCATTGAATTGTCGCTGAAATACCACACGTGAAATTATCATATATAATACCATAAGTAGTCGAAGTATTGTCGAATATTTTTGAGGTGCTGTCACGAATGCTAGTTACGCTGATTAATACCACGAGCGCTTGCGCGAGTGGTATTAAAAAGCGTAACTAGCATGAGTGGAGCAGTAGCTCAAAAATAATCTACAAATACTTCGACTACGAATGGTATTCGGAGGACTATTCAATGAATCAAAAGAAAAATTAAGCATAATTACCCACGCGAATGTATTTCCATGACAACAATAAACGTCAAAATAAATTATGGAAGTTGCTTTTCATTTTGCTATTGATTCTATTCGAACTTTTGTGCTCCAAGCTAATTCGTTATGAGTGATTAAATTAAAAGATGTGGTGATAAGTCGGTTGTCGAAATTGATTAACAAACTAAGAAGAATGTTCCGGTTAATACGACAAAATTTCGCGTCATTTCACTGGTGGAAGTTTGACAAATGTCATTGAATAATCGCATTGAATTGTCGCTGAAATACCACACGTGAAATTATCGCTGAAATACCACACGTGCAATTATCACTATAATTCGTTCCCATTGGCGCAGCAATTTGAAATCGAGACATTTCACTGGCTGAAATGTGACAAATGTTAGATGAATTGAATAGTCACTTATAATTGTACAAGAGGTTTGTATTTTACCGAGTAAATTTGGATTGTTTAGGTAATGAAAATCTGTTGCCTAGCAATTAGAGTTCAATTGCTAGAAGGAAACAGATTTGAATTTCAACAACCCAAATTTACTCAGTTTAAATACAAACCTCGAGTGTAATTCGGCAGGACAATTTAACGAACAAGAAATTCACCAAACTAATCAATTATGGGCAGACGTCAAAGTAGTCATATGGGAAAGGATAATACGATAATTGGTTCGAAAATGTGATAGTGATAAAAACACTAGTGCATTTGTCGCTGGAAAAGTTGCAGGTAACTTTTGCCGCTGTCAAAGTGACAATTGCACTGCGGCTTATGCGATTTTTTATACATGAGTTGAATTGTCATTTTTAAGGGTTGTTGCAGTCGTATATAAACCTTTGTGTATATCGCGTCCATAAATAGGCTTTATGGGGACTCGCCTCGTTTATTTGTGCCTTGCTCGCAAGCTCGCTCGGCTAAATAAACGACTCGTCCATAAAGACCCAGTTTATGTACTTTATATATAAATAGCTATTATGTGCACTAATCTACGTATGAAAAATGCGGTATGGCCCACGTGCGTAGGTCTTTTAACTTTTTTTAGGTTGAATCGATGCCGAAGATGAGAACGAGTCACCTTAGTAGTGCGTATAGTTGGCATGGACTTGTTCAATTACCATTTTGTTGTTAGTTTTTGTTGTTGAGGGTTTAGTCAGTGTGTGGAAGGTTTGAGGCGGGTAACTAGAGAAACTTCGTCGAAGTTCGGGGATTTGTCTAGTCAGGTGTTGTTTGGGAATTGTTCCCGGGCGGGATTTAATTGGTTTTTCGACAAACAAGGTTACAAGCGATGCAGGTGTTTAATCAGGTCTAGCGACGTAGAGGAATTTCGAGTGTTGTCGGGTAAATAACGATGTTGAATTCGTTGGACTGTTAGAGGAAGTGGATTTTGCTTAAATAGGAAGAATGAAAAATAAACGTTGTTGTCTCGGGTTATTTTGATAGAGAACGTAAATGTCTGTGACGCGAATTTTGGTGCCGGTAGTTCAGTCGGCTATGTAATTTTAAAAAAAAGAAAAAAAATGCGGAAACTAGTTTAATTTTATGCAAGGAGTTTTTACCCATGGAATTTCGACTTTAAAAAGTCTGTTCAAAATGAAGAAGTAATTAGTGTAGAGAGAGAAGTCTTCTTTCTGAGAAGAATCTGTCAGATTCGTAAGTGTGATTTCGCCGAACATCGCATATTTCTTGTCCTGGTCAGTTCATTGGATTATTATTAACAGAACTGTGAGATCAATTTGTTTTTAGGTCGAACGTTTGCAAACCGGGTGTGTTGTACTCAAAGGGCACACTTTTCGTACAGGATTATTGTGTATTTCCTGTGTGTTGAAATTTTTTATGTGTCTATTTGAATTCCAATTTGAAATCCAGCTATAGTTTTATGTTTGTGTCAGACTTTTCTAATTTCTTTTTATCCGAATGTTATTTCCGATTTTATTCAAAATTTGAGTAGCGATTGCATTGGAATTTACGGAATTTGATTGGGAGCCTTCGGCTCTTTTAAGTTTGTAAGAGTTTTAGGTTATTGTTAGGATTTACGTGTTGTGTCGGAACCCAGTTGTGCCCTAAGGGAAAATTTAAAAAGAAGAAGAAAACTAAATTGGGTAATTTGAGCTAACTAGGTAAGTGTCTATTGGGTGGTGTAGTGACCGCATACCGTTGTATACTGCAATATATAGGGTGACTCATTAAAAACAGTCGATGCCAATTGGCAGTTTAGCCAGAAACGCTGGAGTACGTCATTTTAGTTTTGAGAGGAATATCTAAATTAAATAATACTACAGTAAAAAGCGATCTTCCGTGTTAATCGAGCCTCATAGTTCTTAAGAAAATTCCGTATTATTCGAGGTGGCAATGGAAAGCGTCCACTTTATCCGAATTGAACTAGTTACGCATTTCTGGTATAGGTATATTTTGTTCTGGAACACGTTGCGATGGAGCCTACATTAAGAACAAGACCACTGGCTACTTTATCAAGAGTCTTGCTGACAAGTATTCAACGTAATTAAAAAAAAACAAATTGAAGATGACAACCGTCGTCGCTGGTATTGCTTCAATCTACAAAAGTTCGCTTCGAGCTCCTCCAGAGTTGCTTTCTCCTTCAACAGCAAACCGATTCTGAATCCATTGCATTCGTCCGCATGTAGCCTATAAGAATTCTCCATTCTTTCTTCTCGCCTCAAACTTTCCCTTCATTGTTGTAAATTACCTTAGAACTGAACACTCTGAGATTAGTGGAGTTGAGAACCTCATCCGTCCTTACTTCGTACGGAGTAGTCCTTTTGCTGGACATCGATTCCGAACGTAGTTGCTATATTTATGGCTTCAGGAATCAGGGTGGAGTTTTTCCGAGTTATGATGAATTGTTAGACGCCAATATATTTAACTATGTTAGAAGTCAATTTATGTGATAGGTATCGGGTGAGTGCAAAAACAGCGTTCTCGCTCTCATCTTTTTAAAACTATTACTTATTACTAGATGTGTTGAAATCGAATATTTTTTCTCCAAAAAAGAAATGAATTGTAAATCTACCGAAAAATTACGTAAGTAACCACAACGGTACTGTCATTTACGCCTAATGAGATGTAATTTCATTAATCTAATTGAGGTTGGATTAAACTTGTTAATGCCAATTTCAGTCACATCCATTCGATAACCTCAAAGGATTAGACCCTTCTCTATCCAAATTATCTTCTTGTAATATATCCTACAAATTCTACATTACTGTAATATTTTTCTTTCAGTTGGACCGGTTGACGTAAAAATCCTCGGAGCCAATCAAGCGCTGTCGGCGGGGAGACGGTACGATTTGCTGTGTCAAAGTTCGGGATCGCGCCCTCCAGCCAGCATCACATGGTGGAAGAATGGGCAACGCCTTGAGAAGACAAAGGAGACGGTAATTTACTTCGATGTATTTTATTTTCGTCTAAAATCGGCGATGGATTTCGAGATTAAATAAGCTCACCCAAAGAGGATAATGAGTAAACAATATAAAGGATGATGAGGGATGGACAAGTTTAAGTACCTATAGAACCGCCATTTGCACCTGTCGTAATAATTATTCCCTTATTATATAAGCTTCACTCACTCTTACATGATCATCTGTAGAAATTTAATTAAGTTTCTTTCAGTTAGTAAACGATTCGATTGTTTTCTGGACAGTGTTATTTTAACCATGTTTAAATACCCGAGATTTTAGCTCGACCTCAATAATTTCCTGTAGTAAATACACAGATAATTAAAACGGTTCGTTAATTTAGGGATCATTCTCGAACTATTATTGCGATATAGCTATTTAACCTGACTCATTTAAAACCCTTATTTACATTCCTCTGTATTTTCAGGTTAGCATACACTGCTGTAATTGATGTTACAGATACCGTCTGGGAACAAGTATGTGGGTTTGAAATTTTTTAAATTCTAAACATTACCCGACTGAATTCGTTTTTCGTAATTAAACGATTACTGCTCGAAAACTTGCGATCATTTTTTATTATTACTTCTTTTTGCAAGAGTTTAGCCATTTTTCCACATAAAAGTTTCGTATGTTTTCTTTTCGTTTTCGATCTTTTTACCTAACTAGTAGACTATTGCAAAAAACATTGTTACCGATAGGTGAAAATCTCTTACTATAGTTCCTCTTTATGTTGGGGCTGATATTGTAGTGTTTTAAATTATTGAAATGAATTTCTCTCGCCAAATATAACTTCACACTTATATGGCTTCATTAATCATAGCCATACTATACCTATTTCCTGCATATTGTTTCCCACAATAACAAAGCTGTATTAAGCACTGGAAAACTCCAATTATTTAGGTTTTCCACGTTCAAATTAAGATAAATTATTTTCCGCTGAGGACAGCTAATATCATTTCTTGTACCGTCTTGGCACTTTGTAAAACTTTGGAATATTCCTACTTCCATGTAATTTTGAATTGAATTGTTTTGAACAAACACCTGTGGTATAGTTTTGGGTAAGTTTTGGAATGCGAATTAGTCCAGTAGCATGCGAGGGTGCCTCCCGAAAATAAGATCAGACAGGCTAGAAGATCGCAATTTCACATCTCTTAATAGTCCACGAAGTGTAGGTTTTGACTTGGCTATTTTTATATCATACACTTTCACCCTGGGGTGGTTGCCACCCCATCTCGAGGGTGGAATTTTTTATTATAATTTGAACACGGAATAGATATAAAAATTAATTCTAAGCAAAATGTGTTCTATACCTTTTTTTTGTAAAGTTATTCGCGACCAAAGGTATCATTTTTCGGAGAAAAGATCAATGTTTTAATTGGTTTATCGCGAAAAACTCGAAAAGTATGCATTTTATTAAAAAACCGTAAAAACAAAAAAAGTTTTTTTTAAATAATTTCTGTATGGTCAATCCGAACCGAGGCCTGGCTTTTTAAAGGTTGGATCTTGTACGCCAAACGCTAAAATACAGAGTTTCATAGTCAAATAACGGCAAAACTATGCATTTATTGCGAAAATCTTGTAGAACCTTTTTTAAACTGTTTAAAAAAAAACCTTTAGCATAAGCGAGTTAGCATGAAAATAAGATCCCTAATTTTTTAGGGAAAAAATCAGCTTAAAAACCTAATTACCACCTTAATAAACATTAGTCTTTTCCCTTTTTCAGTTTTCTCTAATTACATATAAGTAATACCACAGAATATACTAATATTTGATGTCCTTAGATTGAGATTCGAGAACAGTCCCGGCATTAGGTGTCGTAGCTAATGTAGTTACAGTTATATACTACCCCCGTGACTTTATCTTAACGGAGAAAAGTGTTGGTTTAAAACAACAAGTTCGCACTCGTGCACATATCAAACTTCAAACAATTCGATGATTTCCACATGTTTAAAAGAATGATTAATTTAACTTGGGGTCAAGGCCATGTAATCAAACACATAAATTAAGCAAACATTGAATTGATCTTATCTCTCCTTGGAAAAGGTATAATTTCTTAGAAATATTGAAATAGCTCGTGCTGTGCGGTACAGCGAAACCTCTTGCAGCGCCTCTGTACGTTATCTTCGTCACGAATGCCAATTTTGACAGAAGAAACATTCGTATAATGTGATACTCGAGATCGTGGTTATTTATGCGCAGAGGTTTCCTTTGTATTGAGATTGAATGTTGCTCAATTTATTGCTAGGTTTTTTTTGCGAGCAATATGCACAAATTAATTGTCTTTAAAATCTTTACCCTATGCCGTTAAACTCAAACTTTGATTTCCAGTTCCAGATGTGTAAAATCCTCTTTGCATTAAGTTTAAACGACTTTGGTATGAGTCAGGCCTCTAGAAACGTATAAAGTTACTGGTAACACTAATTTGTCCCTGAATTTAAGAGTTCTCGCCACTGTGTTTTTACTCGAAGTTAAACTGCTAATTCTTTACTACTATCCGGATAAAATTCTCTTACTAACATACACGTTCCAGTTCTTGAACTTGCACCACGAACCTTCCCACATACGCCGAATAACATCTCTCATACACAAAATAGCACGCGCCTGCTCCAATAATTTCAGTAAAAAACAACTCTAGTCGCGACATCCTTTAAACTAATAGGAAACCAGAATTTCTGTCACCCGGAACGAAACTTTTAGGTCCGAAGAGATCGTAGAACCGCGCTTGCTTGCCACAAAATATTTCTTGATATCGTTTGTTATTGCCAGACTTATTGCGTTAAGGTTCGCTATAATGTGGTACATTGGTTAATTTTCCTGGTAACCAAGGTATACATTCGAAAAATTACTTTTTTAACTCTAAAGCAGCCACCAGTTACAATACAACAGTGAATTTCAGGGCTGAGACGGTCAGTTCACTATTCGTTATTGAAAGTGATACCAAAAAGTCACAAAACAAAAGATTGTTTCAAACGTCGAATCAACTTAGATATTTTCAATGACGCTTAATCAAGTAAAAAGCTCTCAAGAATCATTATTCCGTGAAAACTAGGAATCCTCTTTTCTTCTAAGACTATTTATAATACCGCATAATGAACCACCTCCACATTTTGTTAAAGACGCTCAACGTAAACAACATGTTATCAACAATTATCTGATCCAAACTCACTTTTAACACACTGTACCATTTTCTACAAAACAAAAATAACGCCTAACGATAACCTCTAATGATTTTACACAAAAAAACACCTGCAAACATTATCAACTTAAATGTCTTACCTTAAATTAAATAAGAGTTCATTTATCCGGCTCACCTAATTAAACAAAAAACGAACCATCTATGCCTTTTTCGTAAACGTGCTTGTTATCACAGCACTATTCCAAAATTATATTTTAAAAGCTTTGTTCGCCCTTTGCCTCTTCCATAGTCAAACTTCGTATGTTTATTGAACCTGACGAGAGAGAGAGATTCGAAGATGGTTATCAAATAATCATTTCCACGATTTTCTTTAATTAGCTGAAGTTTTCTATAAAAAAACAGCAACAACAGAAATGTTAGGCGTACATTCAACTTAAAACATGGTAAAAATTAATACAAGACAATAGACTAAATTAGAACATTTAAATGCATATGCGTGTCTTACCAAAGATTACAATAAATACGTGGAAAAACTACTCCACAAATGGGGAAAACGAGAAAATAAAATGGCAAGGAACCGTCAAGTAAGAAAACGAAAAAACAGCAGAAATGCACATAAAAAAGAAAGCAAAGCAAATGTGAACGCTTTTTGCCGACGTTTTTATGTTCATTATAATTCTTTGTTAAAGTATAGGTACTAGTAGAACAGCGTTTTTAACTTTACCACCCATGAGAATTGAGACGATCTCTACGGTTTCATAGTAAGCGCTATTCGGTGGCTTGATCTGCTCTGCTAATGTATTTTTAGCGCATTTTTGAAAAAAATACGCTATTATATTCGTCATTGCTGGCAGGCCGGCTGTCCGCGTTAGATCTCCACAACTACAATAGCTAGAGACTTCAAATGTTCACTAAAAGCTTTCTGCTATAGTGTAGATGTGCAGGCACTAGTCTATTTTGAGTTAGATTACTTGTGAGATCGATAATTGAAGAAAATAATTTCGATATTGGTTTCGGAGGTGCTATAATTTTACCGTTAGATAGCGTTACCAGTATAAAAACTTATTATTTACTTTGTGATTTGTTTTACACAATGAAGACGTACGGTCAATTGAAATTAAATAATATTAATTATTTAACGCAGCCAAAATTACTCGTGAGATCGATAATTTTAAACTTCGCTAATAAAATACTGACCTGCATTACCAAAAATGCGCTTTAATCATGCATATGCTGATTTACAACTTGTTTGTATTGTTCCTCAACGAAAATGGTCTCAGTTCATATTAGCAAAACAAATTATGCAAATGAAAGAAAGAATATTGTCATGTGCATATTGTGCAAAGTACTTCCCATGTGGAAACGGTCGTATTGTTCCCATTTAACGTTATACCAAATGTTGCTGCTAGCGAAATATCGGCTCTATAATGAACTCATATTACTTTAATTAAAAAACGGCGCTGATATTAACCCCCAGTTATCTCGTAACCACATTCTTAAGCAAGTCGCGCGTTAATTAGAATTTATAGTTGAAAATAATACACATCCACGCCTTGTGACAGTAATGGCAGTGGTGCATTAAGCGACTTCATATAAATTGAAAGTCTTTGAAAACTTTATTTGCGACATCTGGCTCTAATTACTTCCTACGTTATTTCCAACCATAAATCATTGAGAAGAAAATAATATCATTCTTCAACGGTATGACATAATGGTGAATCTCTGCAGCATCTCAGCAAAGCAAGCAACACAGCGATTTGTAAAATAAAAGCAAGAAAGAGAGAGAAGCCCGTGTACCGCATACAAATTTCAGTCTCTACTGCACATTTGTTTGATTGTCAGC